CCCTCTTCTTTTTTATGTTTGTTACTCTCTTGTAACACCTAATCTTCTGGCGCTCATATGACCTTATGCAGTTGCGAGCGCCGTAAAACCCTCTACAAAACCCCCCCCCCCAAAAAAAACGTCTTTAGTCCTTATTTTTGTATGTTACTCTTTAATGTTCAGCTCTCATATTACTTTTATGTGTTGCATATGCAGTGAAACTCTTCATAGCCGTAAACAAAATATGTCAAGAAACGAATGTTACGTTACCCCCCACACCCCTTTCAGCCAGCTCAAGGCCCAATGGGTATGAATCCGATGGGACCACAAGTACCAAATGGAGAGAGTTCACCAATCAACATCGTCCGGCCTCCTGGTCAGGGATTTCCTGTTTATCATGGTTTGTGTTCATTGTAACTACGTTTGTGTGCATGTTTCTCTGTAGCAACACCTTTAATTTTCGGCACTTTTATGACCCATTTGTGTTGCAAGAGCCGTAAAACTAAAATGTGAGGCAGCGTGGTGAAATGAGGCGCTCGTCAAAATAATGAAATCAGAGAAATTGGCATTTTCTGGCCGGTGAGCAAATTTCTTTCTAATTTTCTTTTTTTTGGCCCAACCAACACCAATAAAATCCACATAGAAATGTGTTTGTAAATGGTGATTGTACTAGATTAAACATCTGTACATATGTTGTCGCCAGTTTCATATTTGTAACACAGTTTAGTTTATGTTCTTACTTTGTCCTAAAGTCTCTCCCTGATCCAAAAATTTGGATAGCAAAAAAAACCAACAAGTGAGGAAACCTTGAGAAACTGAATGCTTGAATACCAGATTTTATATTCATGTTGGAAGAATGTGAAGTATTTACATACGTTAGTTATTTTTACATCTTATTGGGGATCCAATGAAGGAGACAAGGTGCTAAAAAAGAGATTGAGAAATCTTAAACTTTTGCTCAACACCCTTTAAAAAAAGATGAGACAAGAATAGCAATATTTCCTTCAGCCTAGTGAACTTCCCTACCTGCGTCTGTGATATAGTGGTCAGATGCTTTGCTATCGCATGTAGAAGTCCAGAGTTCGATTACTGTGTGGGAAAAATTTTCTTTGAGCATCTCAGTCTTTCTGCGTGAATGCTGTATATACATCCCTCTTAATCCCGGTTGGCCCTGACAGCTGGGGTTGATGCCTGCCTCCTGAATTATCTACATGGGGAAGATGGAGGCGTAATGAAATAAATACGAAATTTTCCTCTGTACTGTCTGTTCTGTACTTCAGTGGACAATGGAATGGTTGTGGGTTGTCGGAGGGCATCACTAATTTTTCTCTTTCTTTCCTTGTCTGATTGCCCTTTTCTCGAACTAAATGACAATTATTGTGTCAATGTGCTTCTCGTAAGTAGGACAAAGACTCGGATATAACGGTTGACATTTATTTTCAGGAGGACAAGAGTCCCCGGCAACCATTGGTAGTTCTCCGTCTCCGTCCCCGTCCCAGCTGCCCCCCAGCGTGCCTCCCCCTCACCCACCGCAGTTCGTCATGGCCCAGTCCCCACGGCTCATGTCACCCTACAACCCAGCGGCTGTCATTATGGGTGAGTCTCGTTTCCTGGTTTTCCACTTGGAACCCAAGCCTCTGATCATAGTTTCTGCCTTCTGAAGTGTGTGATTTTGGATTATGCTTTTAGAATAATGTTTTCTCAAAATGATGAGCAAATGGGTAGAGGGTGCCAGTGGTGGGTACTTTTCTTTCCTCTCCTTTTGCTTTTCCCCCTGCGCAAAATAGTGGTTAGTGTGCCAATGTGTTTTTCACTTCCTCAAAGAAATAATCATAAAGATCTATAGCATTTTTTTTTCTGCCTCACTAAAAAAATTTGACCATGTGTAGAAAGTCAAAGAATCATTGAAAGTTGGGTGTCGTTGGCTGCTGTATCTGATCAAAATGTGGTTTAAGAGGCGTTTCTATTTATTCTGAGTTTACTTTTTTATTGTTCTCTCTGTATTCCAGCAAATCGAATATTTGGCAATGCAATGGTACGACCGCAAGCGCCACCTACCCACGTGCCACCACCAGGGGTCAGCAGTCCCTTCGGTAGCCCATATGGAAGTCCCTCGGCTGCCGTGATGGCCTCACGGTAAGATTCGACCTGTCAGGGGTGGTCACTGTGTCCTAATTTTTCATAGATTCAGAATGTTTTTAAAAATCATTTTGAAGAACAGCATGTGTCATACTGTTTCCCATATGACCTTATGTCGTTTCAAGCGCAGTAAAACTCTTACTAAACTACTTAACTAATACCATTTCGATTTAATGGGATTTTTAAAAAAACAAAAAAACTTTTAATCAGAGTGTTTGTGATCAGATCCCTTCTACAAGTATTATGTATTCATTGATTTGCTTGTAAGAACTATGTTGTGCCCCTCCCCAAAAATATTTAAAAATTTTGGTTTCATGAGAAAGCTGTAAAATCTTAACGGTCAACATTGCTGTAAATGAGTTTATACTTTGATTTTATTTACTCAGAAAAGCGTGGTGAATGTTGCTATATATAGAGAGAGAAACATTTTGTTTGCTGTTTCATGGTTTTTTGCAGTGCTGGTGGAACAATAGGCCTCAAGATGTTTGTCTAAACCTCATTCCAATTTTTCTAAAAAGCGCTTTTCTCCTTCATTTTTCTCGGCAGTTTGCCCCATACTCTGTAAATTCTTTAAGACAGCAAAATGAAAGGAAAAAAGGTTGATCATCATATTTTGGTTGATCAATATCTTCTTTTTTTCTGTAACCGTATCAAGTGATGTTTGAAAGTTTTGCAAAAAAAGTATTTTGAAAGTTGTGTGATTATTTCGAAAGTTGTGTGATTGTCTCTTTTAGCTTCGAATATGATCTAAAAGACAGTTAAATTCTAAAGTTGACCTTTTCATTTCAAAGGTGGGTAGGCAGCAGTTTGTATTCAGTCAATGAGATTGTCACAGACAAAGGACAACTTTGCTCAAAGTGCATTTGCACGTCCCGCTGTTTCGTTCCCCATTTGTCTTTTCAGGCTGGGGATGGGTTTTTTTTTGTGGTTGATGGTAGTGAACTGCCAATGGTAGGTGTCTTTCTACTCAGCAGGTAGTTGGAGGGCGCCACTGGTAAATTTTACTTTTCTTACTCCTGACCTTGTTTCTGTCTGTTTTTTGTCTCGTTTTTTCTTTGCACAAAATGACCGTTATATCTTTCTTTTTTGAAGCAAACAAATCAAATTCTTTCAATCGGTTACATTTGGTCAGTGTCTATGGTGCAATAGTTAGGCTCTTTGCATGCCGAAGATATGAGATTGATTTCCATCTCTCTGCTTTTATTTTGTGTTTCACTTTGCTCATGTTTGCCCAGACAGGCAGGGTTACAGCAGCCCGCTGCCTAAATTATCAAAATTGTGTCTATAGGGTGTGGAATATTTCCAGTCAACTCTGTTTTGCCTGTGTTTCAGGGTATCTCAGGGCGGCCCCAACATGTTTGACCAGCAGCAATCTCCCCCGGGCCGGCCGGGCACTGTCTACCCCTCTGGAAGACCGTATGGAGCTCATCAAATGTAAGCTCTAATACATGATAATGACTCGCTCGTGGTTTGTTGTGTCTGGAGGGAGGGGGGGTCAACAAGAGAGTAGTGTCCCCGCAATTAGACTGGAAGTCGACGTCCTTCCGCGAGTAGTGCCCCTGCTGTATTTCTTTGTTATTGAGCATGCGCTATTAATGCAGGAAATAACCTACAGGCCTTCTTTGTTTCTCTTTCATTCACATCGGGTCACGGGTCATCGTGTGTGAAAATCTGTTTTTTAATTTTGAAAACTTGGCAGCTATGCGCTTAGATCAATTGGGGTGTCAAACAGTCTTAATTAACCAATAGACTGCTGAAGCTACTGTCAAGGCATTACCTCGGTATCACTCGTGGTGTTGTATTGTGTGCGGCACAGCTTTGTTTTCTTTCTGCTTGTAAAGAAAAGAATGTCACAAACAATTTCTGTGGGTGGTTGGCGGGTGCTCTAGTGTGGTTTGCTTCTTCTTTCCTATCAAACGTCTATCGTCCTTATCTCCCCTTCTTCTTTTTTAAGTTTGTTACTCTCTTGCAACACCTCTAATCTTCTGGCGCTCATATGACCTTATGCAATTGCGAGCGCCGTAAACCTCTACTAAAACAAACAAAACAATTTCATTTGTTTGATTGGGGCGAACTTGAGGACGAACAAAGAACACTGTTTGTAGGAAGTAATCCACTTTTATTTGACGATGTAGTAAATGATACTACACATAGCTCAGAGTAGTCAGAGCCTCCTCATGTTTTGCTCCTAGGCAACACCAGCCTCTGAAATATCGCCGAGGCTCCCACTCTGGGGATCGTGGAGGTCACATGGACCCTCGGGGCAACAGCATGAGCCACGGACACCAGCATTTCAACGATCGCAGAGACTACAGCTTCAATCAGAGGGGGCCAAGTCAGCATGGATATTTCCAGAGGTAAGACTGCTCTGAAATCTTCTTTGCATTCCCCGGATAGATCTCAGGATCACGGTGTGTAAAAGCCAGTTTCTCAGAGTTTGTTTGGGCCTGTTTGAAGTAAAACCTTATCAGGGATGTTGTTGTTTTTGGGTTGTTTTTTTTTAATTGGGGGGGGGGTACTTATTTTCACTGAAAGAAAAAAATGTGTTTTTAGTGTCAGGACTTGCTTTCTTTCAAACCCCATTTTAGTTGTGTCTATTACTGGTCTTTTTTTTAGTACTAATGCAACATCGTAAATTTTCAGTTATTTTTACAAAATCCCACTGGCATCCCTGTAATATGTCTGCTAGAATTACCCATTCTTATCCATATTTTACTGTTGTGGCTGGGCTGTTACGGAGGTCAGGTCAGACTCAGAGTAATGTAATTCCAAGCATATGTAGCTGTGTTGGGGTGGATGGTCTCAGGGGCTCACAAATGAGGCACTGCTCAGTGGTGACTAGCTGTGATTGACATTTCTGTGTGTCAAGTTTTATTGTTTTAAATTCTCCAGTGACCAGAGCCATACATGCAGAAAATTTGGTTCAGTTATGGCCATATCTGCTTCAAAATTCTTGATTTTTCCTCTGAAAGAACAGAGTAAAATCTTTTCTCAGCTCGTGTCGCGATCCATCAGCACACAGTGATATGGTGTAAAATTAAAATAGGAGTTTTTATTTTGATGACTGACTCAAAAAGAGTTCAAAAGGGCCTAAATACATTACTCCAAACTGGTTAATTTTTGCGGTCTGCCTTCCAACAAAATAGTTGTCTTTTGTCTTTACTTTAGTCGTACTAGAATTGTTTCTATTACTTTATTCTGTACTTTCCTCATGCTCATATTGTATGGGTGGTTGGTGTGTGCTTTGATTTGGTTTGCTCCTTCTTTTCTATCAAATATCTATCGACCTTATCTCTCCTTCTTTTTTGTGTATGTTACTCTCATGTGACACCTTTAATCTTCTGCACCTATATGACCCTACTGTGTTGCAAGTGCCATAAAACCATAACTAAAACTAAAAGTACTAAATTTGTGTCTGTAGCCTGTACTTTCCTCATACTCTTTGTAGCCTGTACTTTTCCTCATACTATCTGACTATCTGTAGCCTGTACTTTCCTCATACTATCTGACTATCTGTTGCCTGTACTTTCCTTAGGCTATCTGTGTGACTGGTTGGTGGGTGCTCTCGTGTGGTTTGCTCCTTCTTTTCAAACATCTATCGTCCTTATCTCTCCTTTTTTTTGTGTATGTTACTTTCTTGTAACTCATTTGTTCTTTGGTGCTTATATGACAGTTTTGTGTTGCTAGTGCAGTAAAACGCTTATGAAAAGACTGTCTGTAGCCTGTACTTTCCTCATACTATCTGACTATCTGTAGCCTGTACTTTCCTCATACTAAATTGTGTCTGTAGCCTATACTACCCTCATATTGCCTGTACTTTCTTCATACTAAAATTGTGTCTATAGCCTGTACTTTCCTCATACTAAATTTGTGTCTGTAGCCTGTACTGCCCTCTCTACTATCTTACTATAGCCTGTACTTTCCTCATTCTGTCTGTTGCTGCATTTGACAGACACCACCATGAGCCAGGCCCAATGGAGCCCTCAGACCGCGACTCTGAGGATGCCTACTCGGGGCTGATGACCAAGAAGGAGAAGGACTGGATCATCAAGATTCAACTGATCCAGCTGCAGACAGACAACCCGTACCTGGATGACTATTACTACACAGTGAGTTTTATTTTCTCAATTTCAAGTTGCAGTTTTTGAGCAGTTCTTACTACTGTCACGTAAAGATTAATATGACAGTTTGAAGCTGGTAATGAAGACATTATTCATATTAAACTAACACATAATAAATGAAATGTGATTCTATGGGTAAAAAGTGGCTTAGTTTACCTCATGTTTTGGGCACAGTTGTATGAAGGAGTTTTTTAAGTGGATAAATTTAATGTCCACCACTTTTGTCCCATTTTTTACAACCCTTACTTGTACTTGTCAAGACTACGTGTGCAGTTGTAGCGAAGAAAGAAATGACAATGCTAGTAGATGCGGTTGGTTATGAACTGGCCCAGCACTTTCTAAAGTTTCAGGTTCAAATGCAAGTGTTAATTTTCATGCCTTTTCTTGATTGTCTTCTCTCTACTCCGCATGCCCCATTATGGAAATATGAGTAGCTTGTGGGTACTCTTTTGTATTCTATGCTCTCCTCTTCTTTTCTGCTTTTAAAAAAATCTTGATCTGTTCCCTTGTGTGAATGCTTGGAGGACACCACTGTTAGATCCTCTTTTTTTTCTTTCTCTCTTTGTTTTTGTTTTTTTAACATTTCCCCTTACTAGATAACTGATAACACATACTAAATAACTCATAACATGTGAATGGTCTTTCAGTAAAGCAAAAAAAAAAGGGGGAAAAAAAGAACACTTTTTACTTCAATTAAAACATTGTTCCAGGTCTTTCTTGATCATGTAATGCCCCATTTTTAATGGTTCCCAACAATGATCCTATCATGTTGTATTTCTCCCAGTATTACACGATGAGGAAGAAGGCTGCTGACCGGGACAGGCAACAGCTGGACAACCCGGCGGACAGAAAGGGCAACGAACCTGAGCTCATCATCCCCAACATGATCAAGATAGAGCCCAGAACTTACACACCAGGTTCGTCCGTCCAGTCTGATGCCCACCACGTGTCTAATATAGTACAGTCAAACTTATTCTGTGTGCAATACACTGATGTGCCAAACATCCTGATGTTTCTTTTCTCGATTCCCAAGCATCCTGATTTTCAAGATTTTAATCTCATGTATACTGATTTTTTAAAGATTGTATCCGTTGTGCTGGATTAAAAAAAATAAATCTATCTACCTTCTCTTTTTGACGGAAGCACCAGTTGGAATTTTTATCACCCTGAACTCTGAATGTTATTCTCAAAAATATCGATACCACGTAAAGTAATGGGCTCGCACACATTATGTCAACTACAATCGGAGTAGTATCAATTTGGCATTTCTAGTTTGCACATGATTACAGGATGTCTTTAGAAAAAAAGATACATTTGAGGGGCAGGCTATTTTTTAAAGTCCCTTTTATTTATCACTGAGAGAAATGCTTGCTGTGAAAAATGCAATTGTAATGAAATTCTCTAAAACTCTTCATGCTGCCATGGAAACAATGGCCATATTGGATTTTTTTGCCTTTTAATGGTAGGGGTAGAATTTTCTTAATCATTTTTTTATTTTGCATGACAAGTCCAATTTTTCTTTATAGTCCCCTAGTAGACATGTTGCCACAGGTTAGTGACAGGAGAAAATGTATCTGTATGATTTTTTAAAGTGACCGTGCAACTCAAAACTGAGATGAATAAAAAAAAAAGTGGGTGGGGGTGGGTACATTATACCCATAATAAAAAATAATAAAATCATGTTTCCCAAATTTTGTTCTTCTATGACCTGTGTAACATGTTGAAGTACATACATGCTATTGCTGGGCGGCGAGGTTCCCGGTTATTGAAAGCAAGGAATCGTATGAATCGACTCCGAACCCAATTACTTACTTTCCAATGATGGGATTTCTTCCTGTGGTTACCTGGTAGCTCCGAACATCTTCAGGATTTAGAATAACCTTGATTTCAGAACACTACGAAGCATCAATAAAAAAAGAAGATTTTACTGATTAAAGTAACAGGCTGGTTTACGTAAAAAGGAGTCGGAACTTTTTTTTCGTAGCATTAGTCCTGGGAATCGGTTCCCGACTAGATTCTTCGCCCAGCTATAAAACATGCCAAGTTTGAAGAGAATATCTTGATACATTCGAAAAATGATTCAGAAAATGACATCTTGAAAATGTTGAAAACACAGTTACAAGAAAAGGGCGTTTAAAAGTTGGAATGTGTGGTAAGTATACATTAGTAGCCGGATTTCAATAATTTGGCTAATATATTTGATCGAACCAGCGATGGGAATTGAAAGTAGAGTGTTTTTGCTAACAGAATATGCAAAGAATGAAATCCATATCTGGACCCAAAACTGCTTAAAATTGCCCACCTGCCCTCTTAATCGTTAATTGTCATCTTACTGACAAAGAGCTAAACTGAGGACTTGTGCAGAGTATAATATAATTTTAAAATTTTATATGTGTATATGTTATATATGTTATACTAAATCTCATTTAGGCACACAGGCAGCCCAGCACCACTTCACATTCTCATTGAGCCTGATTTTTTTGTCCCCCCTGTGATCCTGATTTTTAGATGTCATCGAGTTGCAGGCCAGAATGCACCGTCAAGCTTATAGTTCTTCAACATAGCGACCTTGTTTATGTATTATAAGGTGCTTTCAAGGACTGTGGAATTTTCAGAAAGAGGACGACAGTTTTCAGGTTTTCCTCTTTTTACCCTTCTCCCCCCAACTAATTTAAAAAATATATTATGCTAAGAAGATGAAGAAAAAAATCAGTGTCTGGTTTAGGGTTGAGGTGATGCGGTCTCGTGTCTTTGTGTTTGCAGCTCAATTTGAGGGGTCACTTGGTCGTCTGACCGCTGCCAGTGTCCACAATCCCCGACAGATCATCGACGTGTGCAGAAACGTGTCGCCGACCAATGAGGACTCAAGCCAAAAATCTGTCAGCAAGGAGTTACGGAGATACAGGCAGCTGCTCATGGACATAGAAAAGGTTTCTGGGTTTTTTTTTCTTTGCTCAATGTAGCATGCAGAGTTTGTTGATAATGAAAAAGACTTGTCCTCTTGGAATTTTGTTGTTTGGTTTGTAGAGGGTTTTTTTGCCAAAGGGTTCAAGTTTGTAATTTGTGTCATGTTTTACATACTGATTTCATATGAATGGACGTAGAAAGGTTGTCAACTCTATTTTTCTATAAATGAAGGCTGTTGGGTTGGGGGTTGGGTTTTGGGGGGGGGGGGGGGGGTTGGGTTTGCTTGATTGAAAAAAAATTTTTGCGAAGAGGTTCAAAATTACATTTTGATTCACATTTCACGGACTAATTCTATTACTTTTTGATAAGATGTTTTGACAATAGGTAAAGTATGATTTTTTAAACTAAGTGGGATAAATGCATGACTTGATATGCAAGATTATTGAAAGAAACATGTTAGTGGTAAATGCTTCTGATCCTTTTTATGATTTTTTTTCCCTTCAATATAGAGCAAGTCAAATTATTCTTTTCTATTTCTGGTTTTCAAGGACCTTAACCCCAAGGGTTCTAATTTTTTTTCTTCTTGTGTAAAAAGTCTAGTGGTTACGATACCAGACTCTTAATTGCGAGGTTGAAGGCTCAGAGCTTAGGTATCCTCACTTCACCCATGTGTGAATGGGTACTCGGCCATAGACAGCAAAAGATCGTGTCGGCGTGTTAGTATTTTAGCTCTTGTAAAGTGGCAGCTTTGGTACACTGTATTCTTCCCAGGAAGTTTAGATTTTTACAGAATGCTATCAGTTCTGCGGGCGTTATACAGTAGTCTCTGCCTAAGATCCTAGTGCTTGGGAGCTGGGAAAATGCGGGATCTTAGGTGAACGGGGATCTTACCCGAATGGCCAGGGGGAAGAATCCACAGTAACTCCTGATCAGTCCCATAATCTGTACTATTATCTTCCCTTACTTTAAAATGAACTGCCGTGACTCAAGGGTACTTAAAGTTCTTTTCTGAAATTGGTTTTTCACTCTTTTTTTTGGGGGGGGGGGGCTTTTAAAAAGATACTGTGTCAGGTGGGAACCAATTGGCTTCCAGCAATGCCCCCCGCCATGGTGTGATCCCATCCAGGGCAAACATTGTAACCGCTTATCACGATTTACAACAGGTGTGATCGCATTCATGAGATTGAATGATCTGTGGCGCGACGGACCGTACAATGATCAATTATTTTCGCTACTTGGTTGATGAGCTGAGGGCGCCCAGGTTTCTTATTCTTTTTTTTTTCTTAATAAGATAAAGGAAAAAATAACCAAATTATGACCTGAAAAGCGGGATCTTAGCCGAATGTAGCTCCTTCAGTGCAGGATCTTAGAGGTGACTATAATATAGTAAAAATTCTGTTTTTTCAAAACAGCAGGATCTTTGGCGAACCGGGACCATAAGCTGTTGGATCTTAGGCGGAGACTACTGTAATATAGATTGTAAGGCACACAGAGCTTGCTATTAAGGGGGAATTTGCACTACACAAATTATGCTATATATAAATATTATTTTATATTAGTGTCTTTCTCTTTGCAATTTATTGGTGTATAAATTGATGGAATTAGATTTTGAGTAGGGTGTTAGAAATTAAATTTTTGCTTATAAGTTAGGATCTAAGTCCTGCTTTATTTTTAGACACAATGGTCCATTTTCATCTGAAATTTTGAAAGGTTTTGACAACAGTCTTTGCGAATTACTTGTTTATAATTGTTAGGGCTTTATGATAAACTGGTTTTCTGTCTCTTTTCAGGGTTTCAATAATATCCTGGATGTTGATGATATAGAAAAGAAAATCTTGGCGCTGCCCCATGAGAACAGGTGAGATAGAACTGTCCCTGTCCTATTGGGTTTTCTTTGTTTAATTCTGTTTTTAGATTTCGGTTTTCTGGCTACCAGCAATTTCTCCTGGTGATGAGGTCTTGCCGTATCACTTTGCAGTCATTTGCTGCAATAATGCGACTGTGAAAATTATCCGTTCCAGTCACTTGACGCAGTTCTACGACAGGCTTGAGAAGTCTGTTGCAGTCACACTCCTGGCTGGGTGACCAGATGGGATATTTTGTACTGCTGGCTGTGTGACTGCAAAGTGTTAATGATGTATAAATTGACCTCAAGATGACTTATGACAGAAAATAACACCAAGAGTTATTTTTTGTAATGCAAACCTATGAGGACTAGATGCATATTAAATCTGTATTTTACTTAACTATTTTGATACGGTCTTGCAAAGCTCTCAGACATCCTTAGATTTTGTAGTGAAAAAGACTTTCCGCCTCAAATAGGTCATCAAGTAGTTTTACATCTTAATTGCTGCTGTAATTTGGAAATCTTAATTGCTGCTGTAATTTGGACATCTTAATTCCTGCTGTAATTTGGACATCTTAATTGCTGCTGTAATTTGGAATTCTTAATTGCTGCTGTAATTTGGACATCTTCTCCATTTCTGGGCAGGAAGATGATTCAACTAATGTTATGTACAAAAATTATGTCTCATCATTAGATCACCATGAAATTACAATTCTGTATATGATCAGAACCAGCTGAACCGATATCTAATGTATGTACTGAGTTCACTGACTTTAATTTACAAATAGGGTATCACATTTCTGAGTTGTTTTATATAAGCATGAGATAGTCTTTTGAATATTTTTTTCCAACCTACGTATGCTTCTTACTTTTTCACAAGTTTGCTCCCTGAACCACTTTTTTACTCTTTTCATATTGTATGTGTCACGAAATGTCAATGAGAACTCTCAAGTGCATGGCAATTGTTATTTGACATTTTGTTTTCCAGACTTGCCTTGTTTGAAGAGAGAAGAGAAAAGATCCAGACGGTGTACAACTACTTTATGCAAGATGAAAGCCTTAAATTCAAAAACTTTGTGCCCACCCTGGCAGTGAGGAAGGGGAGGAAACTGCTGGCTAGGTTGATGCCCCTGTTGGACAAAGTAAGTTGTGGTGGAAAGTGTTTAAAAATGGGGGGGGTTTCTTCCCTTGAATGTTTAATGTTTTGTTGTTTTTTATAGAACTCGAGAATTTGAATAAAATCGTCAAGACCAGCTAAAGCCCCTTGAATGGAAGGAATTTGACTACAGAAAGACCTGGCAAAGTAACTTGTTTTCTGATATGGTCAGGAAGTTCACTTTTTGCTGGTGTTATTTGTATAGTGCCTCCAATCTTCCGTATTTTTATGAAAATCTGTACTTTCTGACTGTTCAGTTACTTGCTCTCCCATCATTATCAACTCCATCCGTAAAAAAGTGCGATAGCATAGGGCAACTGAAATTCCAGGGCAAAGGATCCGCACTCGCCATCATATTGTCCTGTATGAGTTACGGATATTTACAGTAATTCTGTTGGCTATAGGTTGATGTTATTGGAATCTGCCAGACCCGGGAGTATGAAGAAATCTGTGAACTGCCCCAGATCAGAATCATATCAGTTAGATTGGTCCGTTTTGTCATCCATGTAAGATAGGCATAAGTCATACAAAACCCCCGTGGCCTTGTGGCATGGATGTAAGTTAGTTTGGCTGTTACCTTGGAATATAGCCTGTCGGAAGGAAATGCTGAAAGATGGGTAGTATTTTATAGTTTTGTCTTTCCTTTGTGAGGTACTGACTTGGTGTCAAAATGGAACAAATGAATTGACGCCATAAAGCTTCAGTGCCTCGTAGGAAAGTCAATGGGTCCATTTTAGTTTCCAGACACATGGCATTTGTGGCACTGGCAATTGGTTTGAGTAGATGCTACTAAAAACTACAGGGGGAAAACTGGTGACATCCACAACTATAGTCCTTTGCTTCAAATCGCCATGTGCAACACAGTGATGACATAAAAAGATGAGATGTCTGAAATCTTTTAAAAATAAATGCTAAATGAATATTTCTGTAGAGCACAAAAACTTCACAAACTTCTGCACATGAAAGAAACAGGGAGTCTCTGGATCTAAATTTCTCTCTGCCAACTGGCTCTTTACGGGAGACCAGGCCTTTGTTGCCTTATGAAACGCAGTGTCATGGCAGGTGTTTCTCTTTTCTCTCCTATAGTAAAGTTCCTACAGGGGCAATTCACACCCTGCTTCTATTCACATTCACTGAGTGACCTTTGCTATCATGCAGGAGTTTACTTATGACAACAAAAAACTGTAAAATATAGCCGTTAACTGTGAGTAACTAGCAAAATGTGGCATGAGGCGTGCATCATGATGACGAAAAAAATCTGAGAGTAGCTTGTTGTGATGTGTCGTGTTTCTTTTTCAGATCCAGTCTTTGGATGTTGTGACAGTATTATTGTCCCACTTGCCTGTGCTGATCAAGAAGGACGAAGAAGACGAGGTTTGTTTGGCTGTTACTTTTTGCTTGGTTTATATGCAGTGCTGTCTGCTTAAACCAAATAAGGTTAATCTGAAAACAGCAGTAAACGGAAAGAATATAGAATCCCCGATTTTTGTTTTTCCTTCAATTTCTCAGCATTCTCTAACCCAAGAGCAAGATTGAAACAAAAAAAATTCAGCAGTCCTGCAATTATCGGCTTAAGCAGATTCCATGGTACCTATGAGGGAAGGGGCAGAGCCTGCCAGGCTTTAAAGTTGCCTTAATGCACGACAGATCAGCGGATTCTTGGGTTAAAAGTCGGGGATGGGCAAACTACCAAATGCAGCCCTCCATAGGTTTGTGTGCTTGGCTTTATATAAGTCCGTCTGGTCACAAGGCAGTGTGAATGTGCGTTGTATACTTGTAGTGACTGACTGGTGTTTTTTTTTCTTTCTTTCATTGTGTATGATTTTTTTCCTTCTTTTATATTTTGTGTTAAGATGAAGGTGTTGTATAGTGCTTAGATCTGTATTGTAGAGGAGTGTGCGGGCATGTTCTATGTAAAGTTTGGTTATATTGTCCATAGGGTCTGCTGGTGCTGATGAGTCAGATCAGTCGTCACATCGGTCATTGTGACCTGGAGTTCCTGGTGCACTACGCTGCCATCCTGCAGAAACATCCAGAACACAATGATGAGGGCATCTCTCTTCTGCTGCACAACTCTGTAAACAAGACGACGATGTCTCTTATTATATACTCTGTATATTGTTGCTTTAGAACTATTTTGACCAAAGTGCCTCTTTACTTAAGTACACTTTGGACAAAATAGTTCTGAGACGATGAAATGTTGTGTGGGCAATGGGAATCTTCCTTGGTGTATGTGTGTGTGTGGGGTACTGTTTGCTTTATGGTGTCACCGTCCAAATTTCAAATTTGGAAAGAGGGGAAAGGTAGGGGGTTATTGTGCACTATTTTTACTTTATGGTGTTCATAAATTGTTTTGGAAACCCCCCCCCCTGGGGCGGTGCTACTGGCTGAAGTGTCTTTAGGCCATTCCCAAAAGGGGGGGACATTAACATCTCGAGTTCTTATGCACAGTAGAATTGTAATTATAAATGGGCTGATTCATCAATGTCATCTCATAACTGTGCCTGAACTGCTACAGGGAACTGCTGCTTTTTCTTTCTTAATCCTTACTATCGTCTATTTTTCTCTACTTCTCAGTGTGTGGTTGGTGGGTGCTCTGGTGTGGTTTGCTTCTTCTTTCCTATGAAACATCTATCGTCCTTATCTCCCCTTCTTCTTTTAATGTTTGTTACTCTCTTGTAACACCTCTAATCTTCTTGCGCTCATATGACCTTATGCAGTTGCGAGTGCCGTAAAACCTCTACTAAAACTAATCATCATATGACCTTATGTAGTTGTGAGCGCCGTAAAACCTCTACTATAACTAACCTCTACTTCTTTTGTATGTTTGTCACACTCTTGTGACCCGTTATTTCCGGGGTGCCTTGATAGTCGAAGCAGACTTTGTGCTGTTGAAGCTAAAGAGGTGAGCAAAGTAATTTTGATTCTCTGTAAGGACTTCTCTGTTGACATCCACCCCTTGGCGCTTATATGACCTTATGCAGTTGCGAGCGCCGTAAAACCTCTACATCAACTAAACTAAAATTGTTTTGAAGAAGATTTGGAGGCCAGAAAAGTTTCAGCTCTTTTGGGGTTGTTTTTTTTAGAGATCTCCTAGCCTGGGTTGCTGCCCTTAGTGTTTTTCGTCACTGGTAACCCCCTTTTTTTTATCTGGTCTACTTGGAGATGATTGTAGACTTTTCAGTGCTAAGAGAGAGATGGGTTTAGTGGTGATGAGGCACTATGGTGGTTTATGGTATAAGAGGTCCAGGGTTTGTGCCTGTGGGGAGGCTTGTCTGAACACTTTGCAGTCACTTACCGCCATAATGCGCCGGTGAAAATGATACGCTCTGGTCACCTGTGTCAGGCCCGAAAAGTCCGTTGCAGTCACACTCCTGGCTGGGTGACCAGATGGGGTATTTTGTACTGCTGGCTGTGTGACTGTAGAGTGTTAAATATCTACAGATACTGTGTGATGTGTGTAGATTGTGGGTTTTTTGTTTTTAGTTCTTTATACTGTCCAGGGGACAAATGATATTTATTGAAGTACAGTCAAACTTGCCCAAGAGGACCAGCCCATTGTCCATGGAAAAGGCGGTCATTATAGACAAGTGGTCATCTAGGGCAGTGTAGAAAAAAGGCAATGTTGCAGTGGAAAGTGGGTGTTTGTACAGAAGTTTGTCTTAGAGGTGGTCGTTAAAGCAGGTTCAACTGTATTTTATAGAAGACAAATGTAGGATTTTAGAATTGTTTTACACTGACTAAGGTTGCTGAATGGCACTTTCATGTTAATGTTATTACGGACCTGCCACTCATCCCGATTTAATCGGGATATCCTGATTTTTTGCCTCAAATCTCAAGCATCTGGATTTTCCGCGATTATGATCATGTGTATCCCAATTTTTTTTTGTTATGTCTGTTGCCCCAGAATTTTCTAAAAAACTTACTTTGCCTTCTCTGTCATGAGAAGCACCCGTTAAGCTTTTTGTCAACAGGAGCACTATTTTCCGAAATATCAATGCCAGATTTAGTTGTTGACTCGCCCCAAGTTGTGTTGGATCTTTGCTGGCACATATTATTTCAACTATAATTGAAGTAGTATTGATTTGGTATTCTGACTTAGGACATTCTCAAGATCTAGGCTACTTTCTTTTGTTTCCTCTCAAAGTTCTCCGATGATGGCCTGATAACTTTTAATTTAGACATACAAATGATCAGTATTATTCATACTTATGCTGTTACTTTCAAAACAAGCATTGTCCGAGTTCTGGTTAGTGGGCCCATAATCAAGACCCTTCAGTAAAATTGTTTAAATCGCGCATTCGCATCTCGTGACATGACTTCGGTGTGCGAGTTCTGCATGAGTCTGGGATCGTCCGTTGACGGGGTCAACCTAAGTTTATATGCACACTGGTTGAAGCATCTTTCGGGACTTATGGCGGGGGGGGGGGGGGGGGTGTAGACACAAGGAGTGCTTGACATGATACTTCAGGATTTTAAAAAAATAGTGATAATACGGCACACACTCACAGTCATATGTTCACACACACTGAGGGATATGCATATATATATATACATGGATTTATGGAAAACCCTGGGGGGAAATTCTAAAGTCAACTTGCCAGTCACCTTCATGATTTGTCGTTGATTCCAGTTTTTTTCCCCTGAGATCCTGATTTTAGATTTCATAGAGAGTTGCTGATCTTTTATTAGGATGATTTCATATATAGCCTGCATAGTATTCAAATATAATTTTTTATTTTTGTTCTCTAATGTGCCTCACGTTTGTTTCTCTTTTGATACTCTTTTTATGTTAAATAATAGTAAAAGTATTTGACTAAACTTTTTGTTCCGGAACCCTCCAGTTCGGCGTGTCCCTCGTGTGCTGCATGATCAGAGCAGGAGAGGACTACTTTAAGAACACCTCACCCGTGGATATAGACAACCAGCTCAAGACTAAATGGTGAGACTTTTACTTTTGCTTTTTTTCCAGTTTCGAAGCTTTTCACTCATTTCGCTCCGTCTTGTCACAGGGGCATTCTCATTTAAGGCTGAATCTGTTCCTTCGATGAGGTGAGGTGCTGGGCAATGGACTCCCTGGTGTCAACGAAAATTCCACCACTCGTGTGCTGTATTCTCTTTGTTCAAATGAACAGTTCTTCTCGCTGGCTGTGGGTCATTGGGAAGCACCATCAGTATGTCCCACTTCTGTCTGTCTGTCTGTCTTTTTCTTTCTCTGCTCAAAATGGCTGTTATTGTATCAATGTGTTTCTCCTTTTTCATTTTCTTCCTTTCAACTGTATGTTGATTTTTTCCCCTTCATTAATGGGGTGTTAATCTTTTGATGGGCTCCTTTTGATTCATGCAAATTTCTTTTTCACTATGTTGGTTTTCTTCCTTGCAGTAAATTTTTATTTTGTCTGTGTCTTTTTCTTTACTCAAAGTTTGTTTTGCATCTTCTCCCCCACCCCCTCACTCTCACTCACACACGCGCACACACACACACAGGACTCAGTTCATCGAGGAGTTTGTGGAGAGCCTGCAGGGTGTTCCCATGGACCAGCTGGCACGGCCGGACTCGGACCAGCCTCAGGTCGGCGATCACGTGGACCGCTTTGTCAACAACAAGCTTCTTGGGGCAGTGGAGGACAAACTGGCATTTCTGGCCAAGCCTCGACAGCAGCCAAAGACAACTGCGACAACAACGCAGCAGCAGCCGCAGCCGCAGCCTCCGAGACAGCAACAGGGACACTGCGGAGGGGAGGGTGGTAAAGTCATGGTGATGAGCAAGTCAATCCCAGCTTCGTGACCTCTGGTCTGGGAGATAAAGAAATAAGTCTCTTATCCCGCTCCCACTTTTTTCCTCGCCCCCATCCCACACTTTCCCTATGTGCCCGCACGCACGCACACAAACACATTCTCACGCTCAGACACACACACACACACATACATATACACTTATTCTTATTCTTACTCTTCTCCGGGTGTCTCCCACCCCTGTTGCCATGTCATCTGGGAGGGGGAGGGAGGCTCATTTCCCCTCTTCCCTCCCCTCTCCTTCCCCATATTTTCACTGAGTAAGGAATGACTAAAGGTGGTTTTGGAGCAAATGTCTGGCTCCGTGTGTGGGCAAAGTCACTGATGTCTGTGTTGCTGTTTTCAAATGTTATTTTTTAAGTTCATCCTTCCAGCGGGGGAGGTGTATCAGATTTTTCGTCACTGGGGAGCACAAAGTGATCCTGTTGAAATGGTTTTGAGAGGATATTCTAGTTTTTGACTTGATGTTGATAGTGCTACACTTGGCATACAACCCACACTGAGTTTCAAAGAAACTGGGCCGGCTGTTAACCGAATTTGTACTCGCAGACCATTGAACTGCGGAAAACCACTAGAACAAATACATTTGGCTTTTTTTTTTCTAAGCAAATAGAGTAAAAATCAGCATGGTCCCTTCTGGCCCTCTATAATGTGTATTCTTGTTTGAGTGCTTCGTAACTGCTGGATGTGTCAATGTTTTGCTGCCAGGTGCCAACATTTTTGTAAAAATCCCTGAACCCAAGTTATTTGGGGATGAATGTACTTCTCATTTATTGTATACGTTTTCTTCTGTTCTGCTAATTGTCAGAAGGTCAGGAGAGTTGTGCAGGTTAGTGCAAGAATTTTTTTTCTTTGTCATAGTTTCTTCTAGTGCAGGTTGTTTCGCCTTCAGACCTAAATGCTAGTAAGGATAGTTCTCCTGTTAAATGTTATTCTTTTTGTGAAATGGGAAAAACGATGTGGTGACAGCAGATGTATCAGTGGAGTGACATTTGCATTTATGTCAATTTTCTGTGTATCAGGCGGTAGTACGATAGTATTTTATCAAACATGCATTAGGGTTCCTGAAAGTTTGTTCTTATTCTATTAAGTTTTGTGTTCAGCCCTTTTTTTAATGCTGGCCTGAGAGATGTACTTGTTTGTAAGGGATGAAATGTTGGTTCCTCTGTGCTCTCTGAACGAGAGGTGTATATTTTTTGGAACTGCGACTCTGCTATGAGGCGAACTTAGTCTATGATAGTTTAAGCTTTTTGTACAGTGTGAAAAAACAAATATTGTTTTCTGTGCAGGAATATTCTTTTTAAGCGATGTGACTAGACATGACTGGCTGCATGAGCTTTTTATGTGTCGGTCGATTTGTCTGCATTTCTTGTTAAAGTCGAATGTGTTAGCATTCTGTGTAAAAGTTTCAGCCGTTTTGTTTTCTTCAAGGATATCTTTCAAATGAGACAGAAGATTGGAATAGACATGGAAAGTCATGGAGGTGTGAAAGTCTTTCCTTGACATTTCATCAAACACACTGTTACATGAACAATAAGTGGCAATTTTATACTTAGATAATGAATCTTTTCATTGGTTTACAAACTCTCTCATGTATACTGAGTTATAGATAAGACATTCTTTTTTTATTATTATTATACTGACACAGAAATTAATGCTGTTTTCAAATATTGATTAATTTTATAATGTAAGCGTTGCTTCAGAAATATGAAGAATTATTTAGAAATTACGAAAATTCCTTGCACAGATTATTTAAAGATTAATCTGGGTAGAATAACGGCTGGTAGTTTTTGTTTGTGAATTTTTTACACCTGCCAGTAAGTTTTACATTTGCAAGGCATGTGATTTTTGTCTAACAAGAGAGCTGGTTAGATATATAGTCAATCGTTTGGGGTTTTTTTTTACCATTAGTTGTCGTAATGGAGGTCAGTGGAATAGGTTGTGCCTTAGATAGTATTATGTTTTTCGGTGAAATTTGTTCCATTAAATACGCAGTTATGGTTGGTGCAGAAATGTTGCTGTCACTGATGGGTTAGCCTTGTTCATGGGAAACATTATTGGAAACGTTTTTCTGGTAGTGCTAATCAAATGTCAGATGATTATGGAATGGTCCTCTGTCGAATGATAAGAAGTTGTTATCTCCAAGTTGATATATGAAGCAGTAGGTCAGTTTCCTCAGCCTTAGCTCTGCTTCTTTTTTGTTTGTTACTCCTTTGTAACACCAAACCTTCGGCATTTATATGACCTTATTGTGTTGCAAGTGCTGTAAAACTGTTATGAAAACATAAAAACCTCCACCTTAACGTCTCTGGCTAGAGGTATTGACTAAGATACTGTAAAATTGTACACAAATTTGATTTCTGTTAGTGCTGGGTTTTTGTTAATATCAATTGTAAGAAAATTTCAGTGGAATATGTTATTTTCTCTTTAAGGCATATTTTAAAATTTGGCGTTTATATTCAAGAAATGTACCGAGCAATCAAAGGAGTGAACACATTTTTCTTCTCGGGAAAACAGATAATTTCACAGGATGTGACTTCTGTCTGGTCCATCTCGTCTGTTTGTCTCTTTCCTTCTATCTTCCTGGTTTCTTTTTCATCAGTAGTGATTGGAGGGTGCCTCTGAAGATTCCCTCTGTTGTTTCTATCTTGGTGCACAAAATGGTGGATATCATGTGAGTCTGTTGCTTCTCTTTACTTAGACTAAATTTCTTTTCCCCCTCAAAAGCAAAACCAGTTTTCAAAGTTGTTTGATGATTACCCTTTCAGACCTTGTCTATAGGTTTCAGCCTCCTGTCTTTTGTATTCAGAGAAAAAAAAATACGAGGAGTTATGGTGGAGCAGGGACCATCAACTCTCTCGAAAGAGAAATCAGCATAACAATTTTTTAAAAAAATTTACCAAGTTCCTCTTTTCTGTGTGACTTACAGTGTTTGTTTGTAGGAAAACCTGACCTTTTTTGTGTGTGAATTTGTTGAGTACAAAATGTAGCAGGGTGCAGGGACACAACTACTGAAGGTTTTTTGTTTGTTTTGTTGAAGGGTTGTTGTTTTTTTTATTGTTTTGTTGGCACAGTAGGCTCTTAGAGAAGGAAGCCCCATTTCTTTTTGTCCGTTGCTGTCTGAGGGTCAACATCTTAGCAAGGCTGGACTTACAATGAAGTGGCGTCTGTTGTGAGATTGTTACTTCTCACCATTGCCCACAAATGATTATGATGCAAGTTCAGTTCCTTTAGGGGAGGTTGTTTTATCATGTGTCCCCCGTCAGTCTGCTGGGATGTTGTCGTATCCCGCTCAGCCCGGGGTGGCCCTGACTGGCAGGTATGAAGCAGCCTGGTCTAAATTGTGTCTATGAGGCTTAAATTTTGTTGTTTGTTTGTTGTTGTTTTTTAAGGGAGTGGATGAAATGTTCTACTAAAAGTTTACTGTTGTAGGCTCTTGTTGATATGGAATGTATATATCCTGATGATGTCTGTTAGAATTACTTTTGTAATGTTTTGTCTTGATAGTGTTAAAAGGCCTTTCACCCCAGCTGTGTACATTGCTTGAGTGAGAGAGAGAGAGAGAGAGAAACAGAAATATTTATTCACTATTTATTGCTTTCCTTCACTTGCAAAAGAGCTTGGATGGTTGGCTCATAAAGTCTTTTGTCATTGAGTGACAATTTAAGTTGGTTTTTGATTGTCCTCATCAGCTCTTTTGCAATGGATATCTGATGTATAAAGTTATTTTTCTACCTTTTTCATAATAATGAATATTGTGAGACATGCATATAGATGTCTTTGCTGCCTTTTTTGTAGTGGGTTTTTTTTCCCCTTGGAGTGATGAATTGGGGGATGGCTATTTATAAATTGTTTGCAAGTCAGTCTTCCCTGAGCTGTTTTGGTACCTGGGTAAGTACTGAAGTTTATTTGTACCCTTGAGGATGAATTGAAAACGTGGTTGTAACTGAAAATTTATGTGATTGAGTGGTGGGAGGATGTCACTGGTTCTTCTTATTTCCTTCCTATCCTTCAGTTGTTTCTGTCCATGCCTCTGGTCTCCCTGGAGCTTCTTTTGCACAAAATGGAAGTAGGTTTTCTTTTTCTTTTTTTTTTTGGTTTTCTTGAGGGGGGTGAGAATGTTCTTCTGGCACTAGTTCATATGAATTCTCTTACTTTATTTTTTTTTCTTTTTGTAGACTTCAATGTGGCATGATGGATTTTCATCTGAGTTTGATGCTATAGGATGTGAATGTTGAAATTTAATGCTGGTTCTGTATGGGCTTGGGTCAGGTTTAATTGAATTCAGGAGATTGTTTATGAGAGTGATTGTTTTTCTGGGTTTGTTCCCCCTATTTCATGGTCTGACTTGTGCGCTGACATTTAGACTTATAATGTGATAACTTTAAAGATTTTTTTTTGGTGTACTTACAGCTCAAATCTTATTAAAGAGATAATGGAATGTTCTTGTTTACCTGCATCAATCGGTTCGCTGCTAATGACTGACTATTGCTTTTGCTCTTAAGTTTTCTCAGAATGTACCAGTGTGAGTGAGAAGATATCCGTCTCTCTTACCTTTGCATTTTTTTCGTCTCTTTTTGGTTTTTCTTAGTCTCTCATGAATGGCGTCTGTGGTTTAATGATAAAAGTCTCTTTGTTTGCTTGCAGAAGCAGTGAAGTTGATTCCTGCATGAGGGAAGACTATCTCCATCTTTTCTGATGGGACACTATGTTCCACTCAGCCAAGATTGGCCCTGATAAACGGTATCAAAGCAATCCATGCCACTATTGAAACAAGAATTGTGTTCATGGGGACATAAAACATTTGCTGTTTGGCATAAGTATTGTTTTTTCAAAAAGGAGTTATTGACTTGTGGGGTAACGGGTGGTGTGGTGATGGAACTGTTACTATGGTGTCCCTGCCCTCACCTGAAGCGTTCCTTTACCATGGTTGATGGCTGCGAGCTACTGTCAAATAATTGTGTCCTGCAGGAGATCTCTTTGTTCCTGAAATTTTTGTCCAGTTTATCCTCTTTCCAAGAATTGTATATATATAAACTAAAAAGCTACTCAGGTGCTTACAAATCTAAATCCCTTTACAAATTTGGTCATTGATGGTAGTCATTACTATAATAAATAATAATTTTTTTTTTGGTAGCATATTCCCTGCTCTAGAGCAGGTTCTGTGTGCTTCACAGTTTATTGAAGGGCAAACATTTCCTAGGTTTTTGCCATATATATTATAAGTAAATATTTCTGATCTTTGTAGTTTGTGTTTTCTTTGTGGCAAGGTTTTTAAAAATTTACAGCAGTACTACTGTTGTCACAAGGATTAAAATTGTGTGTATGTTTATGGGAAGGGGGGGGGGGGGAGGATGTTGTGGGGGGGAGTTCGGTTGTTTTTGGAATGGGTTTTTTTGTGTTTGTTTTTTGGTTTGAGTTGGCGCAAAGAGGGAGTTTTAAGTTTTCTTTTGGTGGATTCATAGTATTTGGACTGGTGGATGAGTTCACGGTAGACATAATACTTAGTAGACAGCACACTGCTGTTTGACAGCTCTGGAAGCCGGATGGGTTTATTTAATGAAGACTGCGATGAGAAGCCTGATGGTTGTCGTCTGTGACCAGTGGCATTTTTGCTTCAGAGAGAAGACTGATTCTACGAATGACTATGACTCTCTTTGCTGACGAGCTGAACAGTTGACAGCACAGATTTGACTGAATTGCGAGGAGTTTCATTATTATTTTGGGTTAAGGTTATTTTGGGGTTTGGGGGGGGTGGGGGGAGGCTGTGTGCTCTACTGGGGACTGTGGTGTAATACTGGTTAGTCTTTTCTGTTGCATGCAGAAGGCAGGAGTTTGATTCCGGAGTGGGGAAGTTAATTCACTAGTTTTCTCAGTCTGTTTGCAGAGATATTTCCTTTCTCAGCTCGGGCAGAAGTGTCCTGCCTCCTACCTAAATGTGTCTGAATTTTGACTGTAGGACTGATCATGTTTTTCTTTTTGTTTTGTGATTTGGGGTGGGGGCCAGCACAGTTTGCCCAATTTCTTCTCTTTTTCCCCCCCTTTATTTCATCTATTGGACAAAAGCAGGGAATGTGAAGACGACAACTTCCTTTTGCCCCTCCCTTCAGATTTTTTTTCTTCTGTTTTTTTTCCGTTTCCTTTTTGTTTCATGTTCTTGTCTTGCGTTGTCAAATGTTTAGTTTGAGCATCCAGTTTTTCTCGTTTGTATTTCTCAAGATTATATTATTCTATGTATGTTGATGTACAAATCTAGAAGTAAAAGGCACACATGAAAGAAAACCAAGCAGAACAATACGAATGGCTTTTGTTTCTGGTTTTGTCTTTGCCTTTCTTTCTCGTCTTTGTTATGTGTGTAATTTACTGTTGTAGTGCAGGGAGAATTTTTAGACCAGCGTTGTGGGTGGTTGGCGGGTGCTCTGGTGTGGTTTGCTTCTTCTTTCCTATCAAACATCTACCGTCCTATCTCCCTTTGTGGGTGGTTGGTGGGTGCTCTAGTGTGGTTTGCTTCTTCTTTACTATCTATGAAACATCTATCATCCTTATCTCCCCTTCTTCTTTTTTATGTTTGTTACTTTCTTGTAACACCTCTAGTCTTCTGGTGCTCATATGACCTTAATCAGTTGCGAGCGCCGTAAAACCTCTACTAAAACTATCTCCCTTTCTTCTTTTTGTAACACCTCTAATCTTCTGTCGCTCATATGACCTTGTGCGGTTGCGAGCGCCATAAAAACCTCTACTCTCTACTAAAACTAAAGACCAGCGTCTCGGAGGTGTAATGGTTAAACTCACTGTGTTGCTGCCTGCAGAAAGCATGAATTCGATTCTTTCCTGCGTTGGAAAGTTATTTTCTCTAGTATCCTTGTCTGTGTGCTTTGATGTATCTCACTTGTCATGGTTGGCACAGACTGAAGTGGCAGGTAGGATGGACCCCCGGGGCAGTGCTACTGACTGAAGTGTCTTTAGGCCATTCCCAAAATGGGCTGATCCGACAATGTCATGCTCATAACTGTGCCTTAACTACGACAGGGAACTGCTGCTTTTTCTTTCCTAATCCTTACTATCGTCGTTTCCTCTACTTCTTTTGTATGTTTGTCACACTCTTGTGACCCACTATTTCCGGGATGCCTTGATAGTCGAAGCAGACATTGTGCTGTTGAAGCTGGAGAGGTGAGCAGAGTAAGTCTGATTCCGTGTAAGGACTTCTCTGTTGACACCCACCCCTTGCGAGCGCCGTAAAACCTCTACTAAAACTTTAAAGAAGCAGGGAGAAAGCAGCCAACCTTCCAAACAAGCTATATTGTATTGATGTACTTAATAATACATGTAATAGCTCATCTGTCAATGTTTGACGATGACCAATACGTCGCAGAAGAGAATGTCTCCAACAAAATAGAGGAATTAGAATACATTGTTAGGGTGACTCGTTGCTTCTGCTGTGTCTAGTGAGACTAATTCTAGCACAGAAAAGTTTGCCACATTTCGAACATTATAAAGTTCCTCGTGGGTGGTTGGCGGGTGCTCTGGTGTGGTTTGCTCATTCTTTCCTATCAAACACCTGCCGTCCTTATCTCTTCTCCTTTTTTTGTGTATGTTACTCTCTTGTGACGCATCTATTCTTCGGCACTTGTATGACCTTATTCAACTTATTGTGTTACAAGTGCCGTAAACACTTACTCCTAATGCTTTAAAAAAAGTTCCACTTCCATTTGTGGCTGTGCGCAGCTTTCAGACCTCTCTCGGGGGTCCTGGCTCTCAAACAATTAAAATAGCCTTACGTTCAGTGTTGAAAGTAATGAAAGGGGCGTGAACCCCGTACAATATACTCAGCCAATTTGACTTCCATCTGAACTTTCCACACGCACGCACACCACTGGTAGATCATTCTTTTCTGCCTCTCAGTTAATTGTCTACCTCACTATTTCCCTGCACGGATAGTATGACCTGTTGTGTCGATGGGCCTCTACTCAAATAATACATATTATATGGACAGTGAAAGATTTTATCAGTATGTTAGTGTTTTAGCGCCAATAAATGAGAAAATTGCAGCTTGCACTGCCATGTATGCTTCGCAGGAAGTTGGGATTATTTCAGAATTCTGCCAATTCTGCTGGGGTAATAAAGTGAGATCGTAAAGCGCATAGAGCTAGCCGGG